TCCATATATGGACCTCGGTCGTTGAAAAGTGCGCCACCTGGCGTCACCTGGCCAAACATCAGCCAGTTGGAAGGCCCAAACTGGATACAGCGAATGTACATGTTGCATGCGTTGCCATGGGTATAGAATCTGCCTGTGTCGCTCAGACTGCAGTTTCGGCAAGCAGCTGGAACCAACACAAGTGTAACAGAAATAGTGTAGAAATATTAACGAGTACTTAATGTAACAACACAGACAAATCGCTGTCGGTAAGTGAAATCTAGACCAAACAGACCAGTGATTACGCGTATTATCAAAGAACAACGCCATCTGGACACAACATCACACTGTCGACATCAGAAAATACAGACTACAAATATGGAACTTCTGAAAACATATTCCTTTACAAGGTAACCCAGTGAATATGTTTGTTTCTTGTTTAATCCCGCTCTGAGCAGCTATACGACGGCGGTCTGTACAAAATTCATTCGGCATTCTGTAAATATCCCGGAGTCACACCTGGTAATCACAGGTAACAAATAAAGACTCCATTCGATGAATATCCGAATTCGTGTTAAGAGGAACACTCGATAACAATTATGTTAACTAAGGATAATGCAGGGACATAATTGTTGCATATTCGACTTCTGTGATATTCGAGTTCCATGAATTCGGGTCAATGATGAGTTCCGCATCATACACATTCGGATATATTATATTAATATTTAATAATGTTTCTATGTACCTACCTTCATAATATTCTTGAACTTGGGGGTCGTTTTGGTTTCCAAACACTCTTGGAACATGTAGAAAGACAACCTTGGCCTTAGCTATCCCCAGCCATGCGGCCATCAGGATGACCAACATGACCTTCATTGTGGTCAGTCTATATCCTCCTCTGTCCACCTACTCGTTGTCCACCTTTTATAGCATGGAGCTAATAATGACATGTTGATGGGGTTGTCATGGTTCAATATGTTTACATTGCAAAGATCACTGAGGTCAGTCTTGGACGTCCTTGAACCTCTAGACGGCCTGGAAGGCGCTGACAAGCCGTGGCGTGGAAGCCACAACCAGGTCCATTTTAACTAGTCGACACGGGGTGCAGAAAGTGGTCAACATTGATACAAGGGTTTGTCCACAAATGTTTCTTTATCACAACAATCTTCAGGGGTAATTAATGACTAGCCCTTTTAACATCGCTATATTCTTTAATGCTCTCTGAAGCTCATGTGTTCAATTTGATAGAGAAATAAGATGAATCTCTGTGCTACCCGTGTTTCCGTCAACATCTGAAAGTCTGTATGGATCACAGTGGCAGTGCTCACAGTAAATTTCGAATTTAATTACAGTATGATGATTTCTCTTGGACAGAAGAACACGTCTTCTTTAACAATAATCCAGCAAGACACCTGAAATGGGCTTCCAGATTGTACTCATGTGAGGAATTGAACCGGGTCTTCGGAGTGATGGGCGAACACTTTACCACTGGGCTACCCAACCGCCCCTGTTCTCCGTGAAGATCTCTCTTTTTTAAAGTTATGTTTCAGAGTTATCATCGTCCCTTTCGCTTTTCGTCTTTCTCGCACAACTTTCGGTTCGTGGAACCAGCCCTCAGGTGGTAATAGTCAGGTGTAGCGTCATACCAAAACACGTTAAAATATGGTACTTGTTGGTCCCTGCCTGGCGCGCGGCATTAATGGGTACATCAAGGACTGGTCGGCTCGGAGTCAGTATAATGTGTCTGGGTGGGGTATTCATGCTTCACTGCGGCATGGCATCTCAGTGGGCTAGCACTATAAAACCCGCTTCAGTCTGGCCTAGTACAAGCAGCCGCACCTACACATACACACGCATGCACGTCGTCATATGAGCGAAATATTCTCAAGTACGACGTTAAACCCAATTTCACCTCACCTCAATAGTCAGGTGTAAGGCAACTGTGATACATGTACATATATACTCAAAGCGCAAAGTTAATGTGATGTGTTTTTGTCCACACATATACCTTAATATGGATATTTACATACACAAGAGGTACATATTTATGAGAAATCTCCACGAAACGCAAACAACTAAAACATCTCTGCACATACACGTTTCTTTAAAGATATAATAGCAATTGTGGAGAGAATATTCGTTTCAACGTGCTATAACAGGCCGGCTAACCAGTCCAATACCATTAGCACTCAAAGAAGTCTCCGGAAGTAAAACCAAAAAAAGGCGATTATGGTTGTTTCTGTCGTGATTCGCCTGCCACGATGATACACCATGGGCATCTTGACTGAGGGACGTCGCAGCGTGACACTTGACTTTAACGTCTACGGGAATAGCATGTGACGTTAACAACAGAACAACTTCGTCAAAGGCTGCCACGGAGGCTACCCACCCGTAATAACCCCGACAAGACATTTGAACCATACATCTTTGACAAACGTTTCTGTCTGGAGATTCAGCAGTCCGCACCGTCCCTGGCAATGAGGAATCAGGACATTCCAACAACGTCATCCATGCAAGGCGTCCTGACAGCAGACGAGTTGTGGCGGCAGAACAATTACGTCAGTGAAGACAAAAATTGCGTTGTCTGGCACATGATGCCAAAGTTTCACAGCAGTAGCTCGTATTAATGTTTCCCTCTCCTGCAAGATTCTTTCACAAAAAGCAAACATGTCTGGGATGACATGGAATCTTACAACATCGATGCAAGAAATCCGGCTTATCCTTATACTTGAAACGCCATTCCCCAGGTCGTTCCGCCTGTACGAGGCGAAGATGTCAGCCATGCCTCAACCTAAAAATTGCGCTCGCTACCTGTTGTGTGAACGTTTCGCTAAAAACTATGTCGTAAATGCCAATATGTGACCTGTGTCAGCCAAGTCAGCGAGACTTGATCCAGTTAGTCGCCTCTCACGACAAGCATTGGTTACTGAAGACCAGTTGTAACACGGATCGTTACGATTCAGGCCTGTCATGTTCCTGGATCTTTATTGGGGCAAGAAATAAGGATCCAGTGGTCATAACGTGGTCATAACACGCTGATGGCTTTTGTTTAATCTGAACCCGACGGCGTGCATAGGTGCTCATTCTATCAACCATTCGCACGTACCAGAATCTGTTCATCTCATGTAGCCTATGTATACCAATTCATCTGGAATATTGATGTCAAACAGCATCTACTCCTAAGATGACAGGACTTTGATATTTTTAAATTGTATATTCTGAATGATTGTAATTGCGCATAATTTTGCTGATGGCAGCATGATTCGAATACTATTTACCTTTAAAAGCAGAAAACAAATAGATCACATTCGGGGTTCCGATTTTGCATAGATAATGTGAAAATATATTTTAGACTAATTGACAATGGTAGCGGATTTGTATGATGTTGCCGTCTTAAATGTGTGTATTATGGTTATATAGTATGACCAGAAATTATTGAGAATTTTAGGAATATGTTTAATTGGATTTCTAGTATAAACAACCTAGACCAGCTCAAGTGCTTGGTTTCATTCAAGAGAGACAACTCCGTTAATCCTTTTTCATTAGTTTGTGAAGAGTTATCCCCCTTTGTTTACTTGCTAGCAGACGACATTTTCAGTGATACTCAGTATGGATGATTTAGAGAAGAGGAAGTTGATTTTAGAGTATTATAACAAGGACATCAGATCAGCTAAAGTGATTTCAAGTAGAACAGGCATCCATTTGTCCACTGTTTATCGTGTTTTCAAAAAATATTGGAAATGAATATGGCATTGAGCACCAGGGAGGCGCAGGTAGGCCCAGAAAATTGACTGTCGGTGACAGGAGGCGGCTTGGTATTCTTGTTTCTAAAACAAACGAAGGAGTTTAGAAAACGTAAGGCTGGATATGATTGATAGAGGAACTGTGGCTGTCTGTAAGGAGAAAATTAGAACTGAGCTGCATGCAATGGGTTGGCAGAAAAGTCGAGGAATTTCATCACCGATCATGAAACCTGAACAAAAGGAGCGAAGGTTGAACTGGTGCTTACAGCATAGAAATTTTAACTATGCAATGTGATTTTCCCAGATGAAAGTTCTGTGTGGCTGTTCCCTAATACACTGAAATTCTGGACCAAACAAACTGAAAAACCTTTGTATCAGCGCCTAAAGTACAGTCCGAAATTTAACGTGTGGGGTGGGATATCTGTGTAAGGGGCAACGTGTATTTGAAGGGAATATAAAACAGTGAGCGGTATACAGATATTCTCGAGGGACATTTACTTCCATCTGCTCACGTGTTCTATGGAATTGTTTTGATATTCCAGCAGGACAACGATCCAAAACATCGTTCAACGCATTCACAGGCCTGGTTTCGGACCCAAAATATGACATTATTAGATTGGCCAAGCTATAGCCCTGACCTAAATCCAATAGAAAATGTTTGGGGACTTATGAAGGAAAGTGTCAATAAGAAAAATCTGACAAATATTGCTGAAATGAAAGAAGAGGTGATCCGATATTGGGACAGCATGGACCACGACTTTCTAACTTCTTTGATCAGTAGTATGCCCCGCCGCATTGAAGCCTGCATTGCTGCCCATGGTGACTTGACAAAATACTAACTGTTCACCTGTCTCTGAATCTGGAGTTATGTTCTGCTAATATTCACATTTAATACGTGAGTAATGAGTGAAAAAAAAAAAAAAATTACAATCTTTAAATTCTCAATAATTTCTGGTTGTACTGTATATTGCGGCATGGTTTGAATATAGCAGAGATATCTCTCTCCAATCAGAATACATATATCCTGGGAACAAGCGTACGACCCGGGTTCGATTCCCCACATTGGTGGAACGTGTGAAGCCCATAAGTGGTGTCTCCAGCTGGAATACTAGTAAGATGCGTCGTAAAGCTATACTCATTCACTCACTTTTCTGTATGTTACCCTCGATAAACTCCTGTTGTGCTTGTTCGTTATGCATCGATCAAATCAGATGAGTTGCCCCTAACCATCTTCTGTAGCCAGTGTACGAAGAGTGGGAAAGACAACGATTCCAGATAAACACATGCAGGTGTTTATTAATTCAGATTTCAAATGTTTACAGTGATCTATAACATGAAGAACGATAACACAGCTGTGTCACACGATTGCCTGTAGATACATCTAAGATTGTGACGCAATAACAACAGATTGTTGTCTGTCAACAATGGAATGGCCAGTTGTCGCCATTGTGCGCCATGTGCCGCCGGAACGGCTGGTTGTATCAGGCGATGATTGTTGCAAGCGGATTACCCTCTTACAGGAAAGGGTTACAGAGCTTGATCAAGTACATCTGGAAGAGAGAAATGGATTAAAGTTATAATCTGTCAAATAGAAATCTTAGTAATTCATTGTTGGTAAAAAATTTATCCTTCGACGGTCGGCAGGGAGACATGAATGTGTGTCTGTGTATGTGTGTATGCAGTAATGCCAGCCACTGATGGTTGGATGGATGGATGGGCGGATGGGCGGATGGATGGATGGATGATGGGAGGATGGATGTATGAGTGGGTGGGTGGGTTTATGGATGGATGTATGGATGGATGGATACATATAATATAGATAATAATAGCATTCGTGTAATCCACATGCAAATAGTACATTCGACGTCGGGTGGAGTTGTTGAGAGGTGAACTGACGTTGACGGGTATGACCCTCCCTTCCTCCCTCCGCGCCTGAACCATATGATTTCAGGCCAATGCAGGAATGAGACGGACTATCTGATCAATTCAGTGGATCCGTGTTCTGATGTGTTCTCTAAACACCTTTAACTTGATCGTATATGAAAACAGCAAACTTTGCCAATTCCGACGTCGCCAGAGATTGCCAACGTGACATCTCAAGTCGACATTGTCTCGTCAACATCATCGCGCCTTGTTTATCGGACCTCATACCATACTGTCCTATTGCGACGTTGCAAATGGGTTTTTTATCTCTAAAGTTAGGTTCCAGTTTTGTTCAACCTTTCTGACTTCCCCTGAACGATATTGTATTTAATTCTAAAACAATATATTATTATACTTTCTTTGATCGTCACGAATATAGCACTTCACTCACATCATCCATGTAGCCGGAGAAATAAGTCTTATTTGTACCAGCAGCGATACTCAGAGGACATGAATTGCCCGCAGCCCGGACACCTGAAACAGAAAGCCAGCGTTCCAGATATTCAAATGTGTCACTCCTGTGCTCTATACAGAGTAATACCAAAAAATCAGTTTCAAGATTGTCTCTCAGTAGTTTTGTCTCTATTTAATGTTTCTCTACAATATTATAACACATAGTCGATATCAACTTGTATAATCTTCCCCTGTGAGTATCTACAATGTGTATAGAGCACTGGAAATGAGTATTGTTAGCCGACAGTGAATCTTACCCTTACGATTTCCTACCAGGGATGTTATGGGAGCCTTATCTTACATCATTTATGTATGACCTTTCCGATACGGTAATATAGTAGTTAATACAGTCTTTACCATTTAATGTCATGATTGAACCGAAGTTTCTAACGTCTCATTTGAAGTAAAGCTTTATGTAAAGAAATTTCCAACATAATTTTAGGAACTCATTATGAATATTATGAATGCTTGAGAAGTTCAAGGTTTGAATATTTCAATAAATGCCATAAATGGTTATTCTTGATATTTTGTGACTTATACGTAGAGTAAAGGTTAGCCAATGGTGGAGCGTATGGAAATTAGATTGTGCTTGGCGATCATGCTAAGTGAACTGGGTTGGTTTATCGATAACTCTATACAGTGTATGCTATGCATATGAACTGCATATAAAACAAATCCAAGGTCTAGGTATTTGTGCTCATTTATGCACACAAAATCTTTCTCCGCCTATGGCTTACCTGGGGGGAAATCAATGGGCACAACCTGCTCCGGCCTTGTATTGTCATTTACTCTCAGAAGACCCTTGTCATCGTCCTTGGCGAAGTACACACTGACCCTTCCGGACAGATCCTTGGACAGAACACAAAGCTTCTTTGAGACAAACTTCTAACACAGACTGTCGACATGGATTGTACAAAGTCGTTACAAATTGGCATATTGGCATAGTACGGTTAAATATACTTCCCACTCACTATATGTTATGTATATATATATATATGGTTACATCGAAGATTGATTTCGCCACTAACTTGGGGGATTCAACTGCAAACCTTATGCAGATGAACTGCACGAGGGTCATGCATCAAATTTGGGTTTTGGTGTAAAGTCTTGTTAAGAATTCACCAATTTTCACTGATTTTTATCATTTATGGAACTCGTGACAATAATCTTTTCAACGTTACGAATTTGTTTTACAATAGTTCACAATCAGTTCATGTATAAACAATACCTTTAAACAGTATGGAATATTTTGCCTGAAGTACGTACGTGGCTATGTTTACACTAGTGCGTCTAGACTTTTGATTGGAAGTATAGGTGCAGGAGTACGCAACCCCCTTTTGTCCTGAAAGCTATTAAGCGACCTGTTAAACTCTCGTGAAAACGAGTGAAAATGAACTGTGCAGCCCCCCTTTCCGAAAATGCTGTCTCGGCCCCTGTGGCGCCACTGTTTTTTTCTGGGAAATAATCGTTACATACCACGTCATCTACTTGTCCTTGAGCGTGAAGCTCAGTATGGTTCTTGGGTTTGACGTAGCAGATGACGCTCCCTCTGGCCGGACTGGTCATACTCAGCTTACACCCGTAGGTTGGCTCGATGTCACAAATGCTGTTATCGGCCAGAGCGTATACTTGGGAGTTGCTTTGGACGTTGTTTGGATCCGGGATATACAGGAAGTTAAAACTGAAGGTGAATCTGAGACCAAGGTCATTTCCGGTGATACCAGGGGCAGCGAAGGTACGACGACCCATAAAGTAGGCTGAGTCGGGAAAGTCGCTGCTGCTGTTGGCAACAGTGCCGTTTCCTTGGATGGAGCTGGAGACGCCGATGGCGGCCTTGTTCAGTGCAAGTGTCCAGGAGTTGTCGGATGAAGAGAGGTGCACTGATGTTATGTTCTGGCATACTGAAGCAGCAACATCAGGTTGTGAGAGAGTTGGCAACGTGGTAGTTTAATTTCTTTTTGTAATTTTTCCAACAATGACATACACTGCTTATACAAGTACCTTCGGCGTGAATTACAGCACTATTTCAGTTTAATGGGTTCAATAAGTCTCGTAAACCGGAAGCTGACATCAGCATCAGCATCAACGAAACAGGTAGTCAGAGCTCAATGACACCCAAATCAAGCGTTGCAATGACTCAATGCATATTGGTCGCCTTTGGCGAAAATCGTTGGATAATGTACACACTGTTCTCTTGTTTGAATTCGAACTTAAGCTTTTGGTGAGACGAATGAAACCTTAACTGTGCGCCCAACACACACACACACACACACACACACACACACACACACACACACACACACACACACACACACACACACACACACACACACACACACACACACACACACACACACACACACACACACACACACACACACACACACACACACACACACACACACACACACACCCATTGCAACAACTATGAAGAAAGTTAATACACTACCAGGGATATTGAACTTTGGGAATCTGAAGTTTGTTAAAAAATATATACACATGTAACTGTAAGTGTTAGTTCTGCCCTGTTTCGTTACTGTCCAGTGATGCGGAGAGGATAGGATACTTACCATTGGTTACATTGTAGAAGTCACATCCACACTTTGTTGGGTCCTGATGACGAAGGGAAGCTGCGCAGGGTACGGTTGTGTTCTCGGGTTGGATCACGTCAACTCCACCCCTTGTGATTTTCACCCATTTAAAAGACTGATAGTACCTGTTGTCTTCCACAGCAGAGCATGTCTCATTCACTGTGGAAATGAACGTGTAAACTGTGTCAGTGAGTCAGTTGGTATTGGTTGGACATTGAGTTGGGCTTGACAAAATTTATGTCAGATGTAATTCTCTATTTTGCCTTGATTTTTTAAGGAGAATTTTGCATTTGTATAAGACGATTCCCACCGGGCAGGATGTGCTCACCTTTTCCCGAACACCTAGTACCGTCACAACTTGATAATGATTCATAAATACATGTTCATAATAGTCGAAATTCTTACAATCGAGATTTCTTGTGAAAACGGTTTTGTCTCTTTTAGTTTCAAGGAATTGTCATTACACTAACCTTTTAATGTATATTTCATTTAGGCGACTCTGCTTTTATGAGAGTTTTCCTATCATAGTGGAAAGAGTTTGAGTATCAGTGAAATAATGCTAGAAACACGTTTAATGGTACTCACAAATATCCAATGATTCATATCTAATAACACATATAACATGATATAGAATACAATCGGCTCGGCTCCTTCTAGTTGATAAGCAAGGTTTTTGTCCCGTGGCAGTGACATGAAAACCTGCTGATAACTTAGATTGGACAAGTAATAGTGACTTTTGATGGCGTCGTGTTAATATGTATAATAATGCTCTCAGATTGAAGTCATATTTGTTCCAGTCAATAAAGGAGGGTATATTTTAATTCCAGATATTTCTAACCTTTCAAACAAACCTGGTATTCACATGACAAACTATAAACATTGCTTCCTGAATACGTAGTGGTGTCACGCATTTTTAAAGTAATATGGAATCGTTCTTACACACTTCTTGGTCTTGTACAGGGGGGCACTGGATGTCGCACACCCCAGTCATGAGGTTGAATCCAAGGCCGGTTGAACAGTACCTCGTCTCGTACAGACCGTTCTCACAGACCTGGTAGGGGCCGCAACTCACGGTATCCATTGGTATCCTCTGTTCAAGGTCACAGGGATCTGGAATGTACACATAACATACACATTAATGCTGTTTGCGTAGTTCGACGCTCATGATGTCAATCACTGATCCGGATTTAATTATTTAAAGACCGCCGTCATATAGCTTGAGGTGGGATGTTAAACCAAAACACCCAAAACACCATAAGCAAACCAAAGAAGGCTTGCTCCTTGTTTAGCGCCACACTCAGATATATTTCAACTCTTTTTCTGCGTCCTGTAAGCAATCGGAGGAGACAAACCAGTAATTGATGTCATGAGCATCAAGCAACGCGATTGGGGTTGGATTACGCCCAATGCACCAAGACAACGAGCCTGACCATTGGGTGTAAGTTTTTTTCTCTATTGAAATAAGTTGCCGGGTCACCTTACAGCCTGGAGTACAACGGGTGTAAACTGTGAGTTTAGTTTTACGCTGCACAAAGCAATATCCATCTTTATGGCGTCGGTCTGTAAATAATCGAGTCTGGACCAGACAATCCAGTGTTCAACAGCATGAGCATCGATCTGCGCAATTTGGAACCTAGGCCATGTGTTAACCAAGCCAGCAAGCCTGACCACCCGATCCCGTTAGTCGCCTCGTACGTGTAAACTGTTGTAGACGTCGTGGATTTATTTGTGAGTGATAACATATCTGAGAGTATAAAACGTTTAACTTTGCTAAAACGGGGGAAATAAGTGAAAAATGATCACTTTTGAGAGAAAGAACAAAATTGGTTGAAGGAAGCGCTTCACGTGTACGAAAATATATCCATTTTCTTCCTTTAATGCCACATGTGTTGTGTTCGGTTCACACAACATGTACGGTTCACACAATCATACGTGCGATATAGTGGCCTGTTCTTTGATAGCCGACCTTTATAAAAAAAATATCAACGTCATTAGTGTGTTGGTCCGTAGAAGTGAGTAAGTATGGTTTTACGCCGCTTTAAGCAATATTCCAGCAATATCACGGTAGGGGACACCGGAAATGGACTTCACACATTGTACACATGTGGGGAATCGAACCTGTCGTCAGCGTGACGAGCTGACGCTTTAACCATTCGGCTACCACACCGCCTCATGTTCCATAGGAGGATTAAATAATGCAGTCGTGGACGTACTGTAAACTCGACACCTGGTGTCGTCATTGATTTTCAGTGATCCGTTCATATACATGTAGTTTACAGTTGTGTTTCCCTGTAGACCAAACGGCATTTGTTTCTGGGGATAGTCAAATTGGATATTCTTTTAACTGACAAATCATGTTTTCATCATACACCTAGCCCCTCACAGAATGTATTTCCTCGTATTTCTTTAAGTAGTTGGTAGATATACATACGTCCCACTCTGCTGCAGGCGTCCATGTTGTACTGGTTCACACAGATGCTCTGTGACTCGTCATACACTTGGCCAAGTCCACAGGTGTGGCCGTAGATGAAGACGAGGTTGGGGAAGCTGACACATTGGATGAACATGTTGCAAGCGTTGGGGTGGGCGTAAGTCGTGCTGTGGCGGCCGACACATTCCACGCAGCCAGCTGAAATAGACGTGAGTGAGTGAGTGAAAGTGAGTGAGTGAGTGTGTTAGGGTTGAATGAGTGAGTTGGTAGTTTGGCGAGTGAATGGGTGTCTGCATAAAACAATATTTCAGTTAAACACATGTAAGCTCATTGTGGAAGAAAAAATCTGAAGCGACAGAAGGTGTATATGCTTGCAACAATTTTCATTTTGATTTTCGAACCTACGTTCAACTGATCTTGTATCGCTAAGGGAAGCTACTCCTCACAGCAAACTAAAGATACTTAGATCACTTCGACAAAGTTCGACCAATATCAGACAGACAACTCCAAATAGATTTCCACTTTATGAATTCTGGGGATCGAACCTGAGTTCCCGTCTCGACGAGTCAATCGTTCATTAAACGTTACTCTGTTGCACTAGTCGTTAATGAAAGGTTGACACAAGGTATACTATATTGCATTAGTCATTAATGAAAGGTTGACACAAGGTATACTATATTGCATTAGTCATTAATGAAAGGTTGACACAAGGTATACTATATTGCATTAGTCGTTGATAAACGATTGACACATAGTACACTCTGTTGCATTAGTCGTTGATAAACAATTGATATATCGTACACTATGTTGCATTAGTCGTTAATAAACGATTGCTATATAGTACACTCTGTTGCATTAGTCGTTGATAAACGATTGATATATAGTACACTCTGTTGCATTAGTCGTTGATAAACGATTGATATATAGTACACTCTGTTGCATTAGTCGTTGATAAACGATTGACACATAGTACACTCTGTTGCATTAGTCGTTGATAAACGATTGATATATCGTACACTCTGTTGCATTAGTCGTTGATAAACGATTGACACATAGTACACTCTGTTGCATTAGTCGTTGATAAACGATTGATATATAGTACACTCTGTTGCATTAGTCGTTGATAAACGATTGATACATAGTACACTCTGTTGCATTAGTCGTTGATAAACGATTGATACATAGTACACTCTGTTGCATTAGTCGTTGATAAACGATTGATATATCGTACACTCTGTTGCATTAGTCGTTGATAAACAATTGATATATCGTACACTATGTTGCATTAGTCGTTAATAAACGATTGCTATATAGTACACTCTGTTGCATTAGTCGTTAATAAAGAGCACCGTCGTTCCTTTCGATCTACGGAGTGTGAATATATAGCACACATTTCATGCATCATTTTCAACCCTTTATCAACTAGTGCAACACCATATTAGTTCAGGTTTTTTGAAGATATGTTTTCAATGTCAAAGTCATTTCTTCTGACAGATGCAAGTTTAATATATACAGAATTTATTTTGACATTTTAAGTCGTCCATTGTCGTTAGAATAAATACAAAATCATTTGTCGTCGACATTGATTTTTAATAATCTTCTGGTTGAAGTAAGGTATTTGCTATTTTTTGGAAGAACATGTTTATAGACTGATTTGGTTTTTTTGAAGAATCGTATTTACATTTCCGACTGACTGACACAGCCATATAAATAAAAGTGACAAAACTAACAAGATGGAAATGAAAAGATTTCTTATAAGCAATGTCCATTTATTCTTTCCTGAATGTAAACACATGTTAACAGCAAATTTAGGGCGATGTTGTTTGTGCATATAAAACATATATATGTAATTGTCGAAACAGACATTTGTTTCATATTTACAGTTACTGACGTGCGTACCGAAAAGAAATGTTATAATTCCCTGATTTGTCAGGTCAATAGCTTATCAAATGCACCGTTATTTCTCAGTAATTAATATCCACAACAATCATATGGTCTACACAGAGTGAGACTAGGTAAACTGTTACACCACTTGAGCAATATTCCAACAAAATCACTAGGACACCACAACAAACTCCACACTTTTGCCATGTGATTCTCGAACACGGTCTTCGGTCTGAGGAGCGAACTCGTTAACCATGAGTCAAGAAAGAAGCGAAAACTTTAACCATGAAATTAGATAGAAGCGAAAACTTTAACCATGAGACTAGAAACAAGCGAATATTTTAACTAGACTAGAAACAGTCCTTATGGCCTAAACGAAACGTTCGAGCATTGACGTTATTCAGACCTTAATCGACAAAGACATCTCTGAATTGTGAAGCGTCAATCTAAGTTCTTGGATAATTTTGTCTCACCTTTATAGAACTCAAGCGTAGCATCATATGCAGCCTCTGTTGAAGTATCTCCAAACACCTTTGGCAGAGCAATTAAGCTGAAGGTTCTTGCTTTGTATGCCGTTATATTCACATCCTGACCATTGACAACACCACAGCTCCAGACCCCTAAAACGGCAAGCAATACTGTGACCATCATCCTGAATGTGGTGTGTTGTGACTTAGAATGAAAGAGGTAACCCGGTTTCTCAATATATAGACAGTGTGACCGATGATAATGAGATGCATATTGGAGTGGCTTCCGGTGGTTTAAACATTCCTGTGCTAGATGAGTTTACGTAATATGTCATTTACACTACCCAGTAGCAGGATGGCCTGATGTCAGAGGTCATATTGCACGTACTTGTGTGATTAAGTCTCGGAATCCCAAACAATAGCTTCATCATTGGACAGTGTCATCGGATGCTGGCGACCAGCAGAAAACGTGGGCTTGGGGATAGGGGTGTTACTAGGTCATCTCAGAAGGTTAAACAATCTTATACTTGTATACTTGTAAACTTGTCGTGGGCGATCTTTATAATAGCTAAAAGTGACAAAACCCTTCTGAAATCATAAAATCTCGTTAAAAAAAAGCAGTCCATTCTATGAATCTAACTATATCGTGAGCATGTGTCCATTAATCACTATTTAATAGCAATGACACGAGGTGATTGCGAAAAGGTGGTTCACAAACGTGTTAAGTTTACATTAAACTGGATGAGAGAACATGAAGGAAACCACGGTGCCCGAACCTAAAACTCGCTGGGTGTCTGTTAGCACTAAGGAACATCACACAATCAAGTGACACGCAACATGGATATACTACGGGAACTTGGTTGTGTAGTGGTAGTGCAATGGCCGAAAATAGTCTTCTGCAAGTAAACAATTATATTATCAGCTGATCGTTACACTGTGGCGTAGTTTCATATCACTTTATTAGGGTAAAATCGTTCAGAAGACCGTATAGTATCAGAGAGAGAGATAGTGAGAGAGAGAGAGAGAGAGAGAGAGAGAGAGAGAGAGAGAGAGTGAGACAGACAAAGAGAGACAGAGTAAACAACAACACGAGCATTGATGCTGTTTCATAATTGATCATTAATGATAGCAAATGTAATGTGAAACAACAAAACATATACCTTTAACAAATATTCAAACTTCCTTGATTTATGTATAATGATAAATAGTCAAATGCTTATTTGACAGTTTAAAGACTGAAGATTTTAATAAATTCAATTCTGCTTTAATTTCCAGTTATCACTTTGAATTGAAAGCGTGTCCAGCATGTTCACTGCTTGCGGGTCTTGTTATTGAGCAGCGCATGTCAGAGCAGCTATAGAAGCGTGATGCCTTTGTATACAAACACGAATTTGTGTTCACAGTGAAACTCTATCATAATATTCCATGCTATTCAACAAGTCTGTATCAAGAAATACAACATAAATACGGCACATGTGGTTATTCTGCACGACAAATGACAAGTATAACCTTCATATATTTCAACACAGATATGCAAGAAAGATATTCAATTCTGTTCAAATGATCCCAAAAGTCATCAAAGTGTCATATCGATGCACATATACAAGATGGCACCTGCCATGTGTCGCCATTGCCTTTGAAGACGTCAGATACCCTCGCGTCTCCAGCTACCTGAACTGTTCATACGGTGTCCTGTATAGGAGCGAAGTCCTACTAGCGGTGCTATGTACATTTGACAAAGGTGCGCTATGGGTCACTCGAGTCCATGGGGGTCAGGGTAAATACAACCTTTGGTCTGCTTAATGTCAACTCAACCAGTGCTACAGAACGCTTTGACACGCTACTGAAAGGTAATTGCAATCAATTTGGAAACGAACCAGATCGACGTCATAGTTCATACAACAATATTTTCCAGGGGCACAGAGGTGGTTAAAAAAGAAAAGTGACGTGACACTGCAAGGCTGAGAGAGAGAGAGAGAGAGAGAGAGAGAGAGAGAGAGAGAGAGAGAGAGAGAGAGAGAGAGAGAGAGAGAGAGAGAGAGAGAGAGAGAGAGAGAGAGAGAGAGAGAGAGAGAGAGAGAGAGAGGGTGAGATAGAGACAGACAGACAGACAGACAGACAGACAGACAGACAGAGAGTGATGAAATGAATCAGAAAAATAAAGAATTATTGTCTTGTGATATTAAACATCATGACCTTACTAGAGGTTCTGACACAGAGGCTTGTCCCTTAATAGGGGCGGATTTCAATCCTCCAAATACCATCACAGATGCATTACGGCAATCAAACAGTAGTCACGTTCGTCCGTGTCAAATTTGATACACCTGTCGGTAGTGAAGATACACTTTTCTCAGACAAAATTCTCGCATGTATTGTTTTCGTATTATAGGCGTGACTAGTTTGCGTGCATGTATAATGCCAGTGTAACTTCCGGACTGCGTTGGGGACCCACATTCCACTATAGACAGTTTCACTGATAATTTTAAAAAGTGATAAACAATTTGTGTTGGTTTGAGAAATTGACAGTGTGACATATGATAAGTCATCCCAGACCCAACTGAACACATTCTAGACTTGTCTCTACACCTTTCTTTCTATCCTTGGTACTCAAGAACTATTCTAATGTGTCAGGTGTATCTTCAGTAGGAATGAAAGATCTGCGTATCATTATCAAACTTTAAACAGTATATTTTGAGAAAGGACACGATAGACATGATGTTCTTTCTGTATGTGTATAAGAGCAAATGAAGACCAATAATGAATACACAATGCCATTTGGAAAGTGGTCAAATGTAACGTATGTTATATTTGGGATTACACTTTCTTAGTAAAGTACAGATTCTAGTACTTTTGTTGGGTTGAGTCCCATCCGGGATTCGAACCCAAACCCCCAGAGTCAGGGGCCTTAACGCCAGCACACAAAGAGGGTGTGAGTTCGAATCCCGGATGGGACTCAGCCCAACAAAGGTATTAGAATCTATACTTTATTGAGAAAGTGTAATCCCGCAAATAACATGTTACAAGACCAATATTGCACATCAACGTAACAGTAACGTAACACCGTAACTGCCCCGTAGGTCAGAAGGGGTCGATCATGCTCGTGTTAATGTACACATTGCTGATGGAAGTAAAGTACGATTTTGTTCATCTCATACAATGATTTCATTTGACTTTACAACTAACATGAAACAACTGACTGAATAATCCTTACAACAGTAAAATCGTAACACTTGTTAACATGTGCAAGCAACTCTCTTAAATACCATGGGTTCTATACCTACCAAGAAAAATATCACCCGGGAAACAAAGATGTCTATATTTTTTCTTTGAGTAAAATGCGTAATTATTCCCGAAAAAACACACATCACCAACGACCAAAGATCATAGCTAAGTTATATTCGTAGAGAAAAATGAATATACACAAAGAAGTTAGTTAAACACCCCTGACATAGCTCATGGTTGAATGAGCCCCGATCTTAACCATTTGGTTTGGTTTGTTATTTATCCTGCCCTCACTAATATTCCAGCTGTATGGCGGCGGTCTGTAAATAATCGAATCTGGACCAGATAACCCAGTGATCAACAGCATGAACTTAACCCTTTGGGGCATATCTGGGACATGATTGGTCGTTGTGTGCAGAACCTCGCCCAATTGGAAGCTCCTTTACACGAGGAATGGCGTAGAATGTCTCTTCAGAGGATCAGGGGGCTGACAGGGGGTATGAGGAGGAGAGTGCAGGCTGTCATACAGTCACCTGGAGGTTACATTCGGTATTGACCTTGAATCGTGTAAAACATGCAAAATGACATTTTGAATGTTCACATTCACCAATAAATCCAACATTAAACATTCCAGGGCCATACTTGTACAGACATAGTTTTGTATGAAAATCAGTGTTGTTGTTTTTTTAATGAGCAATGGTCATCATAAAATCAACATGGATTCCAATCATTTTGTCGTTTTTTACGAGTCAACCGATGATACGGGTCAGAAAAACTGATGTTTTCAATTGTGTTCACAACGAGAAGTTTTATTTACGTGTTGAAAAACTATGCAAAAATACAGGGGTGCTTAATTAAGTTCTTTGTGTTTATTATCATTTTGCGTTGACTGTCCTTGCCATGGGATGCGCCAATGCCACCTCCTTTGATATTTACTCTTCAGGTTTTTCACCTCGAGCCTTCTCTACTCAAAGAGAAATTTAAGCCTCAAATTCAAACTTTCACGTGTGTTAGAGAAGGACGAAGTGTCCTTTATCCCGCGTCAAAGACGCCTACTTTGTGTATCTAGAAAATTATCACTTGCCAGCGACATGTTGCGGGAATCATTCTGACGCCGGTGTAGCTTGATTAAATCACTTCCCCTAAATGTCTGTCGGATAGAATCACTCTGGAGCAACCTGATCCAAAGACTGCCTACTGTAAGTGAAATTCTCCCAGGTATCTGGGATTAAACCCTTCCCCTTCTCAGGATAAAATAAGAAAGAATAAGATTTTTTTTCAATATGGGTTTAACCATTGTACTGAGTGTGTATATGGTGGGGGGTGTGAGCAGAATTTGACGAATCATGTTTTCATTATTTCATATTTGTGTTAATTTTCAAACTAACTGCGAGTAAACAAGTGAACTAGCCACAGCGTTAAAGGTAATTTCCAGTTTGATTTAATGATATATAATTTTATGTAACCAAATCCAAAAGTTAACAAAAGTTTCTTACTCGGATGGATGTGGAAAGGGTTTTTTGACAAGCGTACCATCAGATTAAACTTTCATTGTTTATTTATCGTGGATTAATTTATATACAGCTTTCAAGTAAGGACACTTTATTCAATTGGACAAGTCAGCTTTAAGGTTTGGATAAGTATCTATATTATTGTAAGGCTTTCGCCAATACAGTATGCTGAAGGTATATGATGAGTGCTTTTGTCCTTGAGGGTGTTTTCATCCTTCAACTGGGGAGTGTTCTGGCAGTAAGGTGACTCTGGGATAGGATCACTGTAGAATGATTATATTTTGGAGAGTGATTAGCCCACACCTACATGGTCCTTCATCCCTTTGGGATTGCTGGATCTAGCGTTTTAGGGCATGTTTTCGGAAGGCGTTTTTGTTTCATTGAACCGAACTCACGCCACCGTGCCTGACATCGACACTACAATGTAATGTTGACACAAAATGATGGAGTTTGTATACCCACC